TAATGTTGTTGAAGGACTAAGGAGGGCACTGGAAAAAAGGCCACTGGAATTGGTTGAGGCATAGGCACAGTCTAATCCAGAAATTGTATCAATTTGCAGCCCTCCCTACTACCAGACCAGTGACACATATCACTCTTTTTTTTTTTTGAGACAGGGTCTTGCTTTGTTACCCAGGCTGGAGTGCAGTGGTGTGATCTCGGCTCACTACAGCCTCCATCTCCTGGGGTCAAGCAATCCTCCCACCTCAGCTTTCTGAGTAGCTGGGACCACAGGCGTGTGCCACCATGCCCAGCTAATTTTTGTATTTTTTGGTAGAGACGGGGTTTCACCATGTTGCCCAGGCAGGTCTCAAACTCCTGAACTCAAACAGTCTGCCAGCCTTGGCTTTCCAAAGTGTTGGGATTACAGGTGTGAGCCACTGCACCAGGCCAGATAACACTAATTAATGACAGTACTGAGACTGTACATGGCCTCAGATTCCTTCTTAATCCTTCAGGCAGCTACTACCAAAACATCAGAATTGGTACAGGAGATGAAAAGTATTTGTTACCTGTGACCTGATAATTTAAGAAGCCTGGTCTGTAGGGAATGAAGGATGTAAAGACCTTACTTTGGCATCCAACAAGGAGGCTCATTGTATATAGGGTGAAAAACAAGAAGGCCGTCCTCTAACTGGGAAGTTTGTAGTCTTTCCAAAATCATGCATATCTTAGAAGGATAAAATGGAGCAGGCTTTAGGAAGGAAGTTTACAATTTCCAAAGCAACAAGACCACCTAAATCCACCCTAAATCAATAGCTTAAAGAAAAAAGGAGAATGGACTTCCTCAACCTGATAAAGAATAACTAGAAAAAACCCACAACTAACATCATACTTCATGGTGAAAGAATGAATACTTTCCCCTTGAGATCAGAAACAAGACAAGGATAATTGTTTTAGCCACTGTCATTCAACATTGTACTGGAAGTTTTAGGTAGGCTAATTAGGCAAGACAAGGAAATAAAGGTACCCCAATTGGAAAAGAGGATGTAAAACTATTTGCAGACAACATGATCCGGTATATAGAAAATCCTAAGGAATAAACTAAACATTTATTAGAACTAATAAACAATTTCAATAAGGTTGCAGGATACATGACCAATATACAACAATAATTTTATATCTATACAGTAGCAATGGACAAACCAAAAATGAAATTAAGAACACTGTTCCACTTACAATAGCATCGCTAGAAATAAAATACTTAGGAATAAATTTAATAAAATAAGCCTAAAATTTATACTCTGAAAACTAAAATACATTGTAGAAAGAAATTAAAGAGGACCTAAATAAATGGGAAAACATCCCATGTGCACGAATCAGAAAACTTTATATCGTTAACACGACAATACTCCCCAAATTAATCTACAGATGCAATGTAATCCCTATCAAAATCTTACTTTTCTTTACAGAAATCAATGAGTTGATCATAAAATTCACATAGAACTATAAAAGACCCAGAATATCCAAAACAATTATGAAAACTGGAACAAAGTTGGAGGACTCACTTCTCAATTTCAAAACATTAACCAAGACAATAAAATATGGTGTTGGCATAAGTATAGAGGAACAGAATTAAGAGTCCAGATCTTCATATTTTTAGTCAATGATTTTCAACAAGGATGCTAAAACAGTGGGGCAAAGTCCAGTGAGAAAACAATAGCCTTTGTTTTACATCACAATATCAATTTTTATTACATAGGATTTGTGACCATTATTTTGCAGCACAAAAATATGACTTTCTTGTTTTCATGCTGATATTTCACAATCTATAATATATAGTTTCTTAAAAGATAAACTCAAAAAAGTAGTTTTTAACCACAATTCTGTTACTTGGTTTTAAAAAATTACTATATATTATGTTACAGTAATTGATATGCTAATTTTATAGATTAGTCATAGCATACATACAATGTTTTCATCCATATGTACAAATTAAAGACTGCGCAGTAAGCACCCATGTGGCCATGGACCAAATGTAGCTATAGGACATGACACTGCCCTGAAGCTTCCCTTAGGTCCCTCAAGTCAGTAACATCCCCTCCCTCACCAAGAGGTCTCCACTTCTTCACTTTTTGATCATTATCTTCTTGCTGCTTGCTACCTAATATAGCAATATTAAGTAGTGATAAATTAGGTATTACCACCTAATATAGATGGAAATAAATTAGGCATTGCCAAGTAATATCTAATTTACCACCTAATAGAGTTTAATTTCTCCTGTTTATAAACTTCATATAAATGGAGTTATATTTTAAATTTTTTTGATTTACCCTTCTCAGTTAATATTGTGAAACTTAGCCTCGTGTGTTGTTTAGCATTCCATTGTATGACTATATCCTAAGTTGTCCATAGTCCTACTGTTAAAACTTTCTGGCTTTTACTATTAAAAGCTAAGAATATTCTCATTTTGTATCTCATAGTGCAATATCTAAGGTCAATAGTTACAAAGTCATTCCTGGGTCAAAAGAGTATGCATATCTTCCACTTTATTAGAGCGTCAAACTGTTTCCTTCTTTTCTTTTTTTTTCTTTCTTTTTCCTGTGTGTGTGTGTGTGTAGAGACAGGGTCTCACTCTTGCCCAGGCTGTAATGCAGTGGCACAACCTCGAACTCCTGGGCTCGAGGCATCCTCCTACCTCAGCCTCCTTAGTAGATGGGAGTACAGGCCCACACCACCAGGCCCAGCTAATTTTTGTTTGTTTGTTTGTTTGTTTGGTAAAGATAGAGATCTCACTATGTGGCCCAGGCTGGTCTCGAACTCCTGGGCTCAAGCAATCCTCCCAAGTTGGCCTCCCAAAGTGCTGAGATTACAGACGTGAGCCACCACAGCCAGCCTCAAACTGTTTTCTAACCTGCTTGTACCAACTTACACTCACAGAATTGAGTAAAACTCCATCCCCACAGTACCAAGGCTTGGTGCTTTGGACATTTTTAGTTTTGCCAATCTCAAGGTATGATGATGCTTCATCGTGATTTTAATATGCATTTTGATTACTAATAAGGCCAAATACATTTTTTGTTTATTGCCCATTTACTCTTGTCTTTTTGTACAGTACTTAATGGTCTTTCCCTTATTTATTTATTTATTTATCCCAGCTATAGTTCTTCTCTATGTATTCTGGATAACCAACAAACACTGTTGTAATGTTTTTGCAAATATCTTCTTCCAACTTGTGGTTGGCCTTGTTATGATCCTTATGACATCTTTTGAAGAACAAAATGACTTCACTTGAATGAAACTGAATATATGAGCTTTTCCTTTACAGTTACTGCTTCAAGTGGCTTGTTGAAGAAGTTATTTTCTATCCTGAGGTCATGGAGACACTCTCCAATATTATCTATCTCTAAAGAGAGTTTTAGCTTTACTTTTCACATCTAGATTTTTCAAAAATCTGGAATTCATTTTTTGTGCATATGATAAGGTAGTAATCTGGAAAAATTTTTCCACACATGGCTGTCAAATTGTTCTACCACACTTACTGAAAAGTCAATTCTTTCACCACTGATCTGCAATTTCCCCTCTAAGAAATGTCAAAATCCATGTATTCCTGGATCTGTTTCTCAAATTCTGTTCCATTGGTCTAGACAACTACTACAACACTTACACAAAGTCTTATTTATTACAGCCTGACATTTGGAGGGGCACGTATGCCCATTTTGTTGTTTAAGAATACCTTGTCAGTGGAGGTGGGAGGATCATTTGAGCCAAGGAATTTGAGACCAGCCTGGGCAACATAGGGAGACCCCATCTCTATATTAAAGAAACAAATTAAAAGAATATTTTGTTTTAATTTAGCTATTTCCATTACCTCACAAGTTTAAGAATCAGCTTAACAGCCTAGGCAACATAGTGGGACCTTGTCTCTAATAAAAAAAAATTTTTATTTAGCCAAGTGCGGTGGTGCATGCCTGCAGTCCCAGCTACTCAGGAGGCTGAGGTGGGAGGATCACTTGAGTCTGGGAGGTTGAGGCTGCAGTGAGCCGAGATCACGCCACTGCATTCCAGCCTGGGTGACAAAGTAAGACTGTTTCAAAGAATCAGATTAACAAACCCTACAAAAATGCTTGAGGTTTTGATTGCAATTACACTGGATCTGTGGATCAATTTGGGGAAAATTACCAGTTTTATAATATCACGTCATTTAATCTACAGGTGCAGTCTCTCTGCCCACTTAGCTAGCTCATGTTGAATGCTTCTCAGTAAAGCTTTATAAACTTCAAAGAGGTCTTGCATGGCTTTTGTTAGGTTTTTCCTAAACACTTAACGTTTTTGATAACATTGCAAATGACATATTTCTCTAAATGTTATTTTTTGTATATAGAAATGCAGTTGATTTTTGTACTGAGTTTATATCCAACTTCTTAAACATTATTAATTCTAAACATTTATTGTAGATTCTTATGGATTTTCTATTTGTACAATCACATCTATGTAACGTAAAAGTTTTGCTTCTTTCTCCTCAATTCTCATATTATTTTATTTTTCTCACTGATACAGTTTGAATATTTGCCCCTTCCAATCTCATGTTGAAATTTCATCCCCAGTGTTAGAGGTGGGGCCTGATGGGAGGTGTTTGGGCCATGAGGGTAGATCCCTCGTGAATGGGCTTGGTACTGTCCTCATGGTAATGACTGAGTTCTCACTCTAGTAGGTCCCTCGAGAAGTGATTCTTTTTTTTTTTTTTTTGAGATGGAGTCTCACTCTGTTGCCCAGACTGGAGTGGCTCAGTGCAACCTCCGCCTCCCAGGTTCAAGCAATTCTCCTGCCTCAGCCTCCCAGGTAGCTGGAATTACAGGTACCCACCATGCCAGTTAATTTTTGTATTTTTAATAGACACAGGGTTTTACTATGTTGGCCAGGCTGATCTCAAACTCCTGAGCTCAGGTGATCTGCCCACCTTGGCCTCCCAAAGTGCTGGGAATACAGGTATGAGCCACTGTGCCCAGCCAAGAAGTGATTCTTAAACAGAGCCTAGCACTCCCTCTCTACTCTCTTCCTCTCTCACACAATGTGATGTCTGCTCTCCCTTGCCTTCTGCCATTAGTGGAAGCTTTCTGAGGTCACCCCAGAAGCAGATGCCACCATCACATTTCTTCTACTGCCTACAGAACCATAAGCCAAATAAAACCTCTTTTCTTTATAAATTACCCAGCTTCAGGTGTTCCTTTATAGCAACATAAATGGACTAAGACACTTGCTTCCCTGTTCTATCTAGGGGTACAGTAAATTATTAAAGGGCTAACCAAAGGCATCCTTGTCTTGTGCCTTTCTGAAATTTCCTCCAATAACTCTATGAGTTTAACAGCCAAACCAAGATATGTAAATTTTGGGCAACAGAAAGAGCTGTAGCATAACTGTGCCATTCTTCTCTAGCTACTGAACCTTCTGCTTTACCCACAATATAATCCATTAACTTTCGACTAGATGCCCGAATACTCTGGCAAGATATTGTAAATAAAAAGGAATCTTGTAAGTTTCTGGACGTGGCTCCAAGTTAATGTTGTTGAAACTGAACACGTCATTACAGATGAAGCCCCAGAGTGTGGTCATCATGCCACCATCACTGAGGCCTGCTTGCCACAACCTCATACTCACCCCACTGGAAGTTGCCCCATGCATGGCTGCTATGGGGCAGGGAGGGAACTGCTAACAATAGCCTTTTCAGCAAATGATTCTGGGTCAACATCCACATGCAAATGGACAAAGATGGACCCCTACTTTATACCATATTCAAAAATTAACTTGAAATCGATCTGAAACAGAAATGTAAGAGTTAAAACAATAAAACTCTCAAAAGAAAACAGTTGTAAATCTTCATGTCCTTGGATAGACAATGACTTCTTAGCTATAATGCCAAAAACATAAACAACAAAAGAAAAAATACATGAACTGGAAATCATCAAAAGTTTAAACTTTCATGCTTCAAAGAACATCAAGAAAGAAAACTCACAGAATGGGAGGAAGTTTTTGCAAATCCTGTCACTGATAAACGACTTGTACCTAGACTATATAAAGAAAAATTATAACTCAAAAACTTAAGACAAGTAATCTAATTTTCAAATAAGCAAAGAATCTGAATAGATATTTCTCCATATAAAATATACAAATAGAAATTAAGCAGATAAAAAGATGATCAATATAATCAATCATTAGGAAAATGCAAATTAAAACTTCAATGAGATAACACTTCACAAACCTGCTAAAACAGCTATTTTGAGAAAGACAGATTATAAGAAGTTTTGGAAAGGATGTGAAGAAACTGAAACCTTCATACATTGCTGGTGTAAACATAAAACGGTGCAGTTACATTGGAAAGCAGCCTGACAATTCCTCAAATGATTAAACACAGAGTTATCACATGACCAGCAATTCTACTCCATGAGAAATGAAAACATATGTCTGCACAAACGGTTGTACACAAAACATAGCAGCATTATTCGCAATAGTTAAAAACTGAAAACAATCTGAATGTCCATCAACCAATGAATGAATAAATTGTACATTTATGCAATGGAATGTTATTCAGCAATAAAATGAAATTAATTACTGCTTGATGCTACAACATGATGAACCAAGAAGACAGTCACAAAGGACCACACACTGTATTTGTCCATTTATGTGAAATTATCAGAACGCACAAATCTCTAGAAACAGAAAGTAGATTAGTAGTTGCCTAGAGGTGTGAGGATGGGGAGACTACAGAAGTGAAGGCTAAGGAGTGAGGGGTTTCTTTTCTGGGGAATTATAATATTCTAAAATTGATTGTGGTTTTGGATGTACAACTTTGTAAATATACTAAAAATCACTGAATTTTACCCTTTAAATGGGAAATTGTATGGTATGTGAATTATATATCAAAAAGGTAGCTGACTTACATATAGGTTTCTTGTGCCATTGTTTTTCTAAACTAGAAAGGATAGAAGTATTTCAAAGCCAGACCCATTGAAGAACTCCACTGGAAAAAAAAAAGAAAGAACTCCACTGGAAGCCCAGGTTTGGGATTAAGAACTTCCAGGGCCTGCAGTTTGCCGGACTTCACCCAGCATGGAGCCAGTCACCAGGCTGTCAATTCTGATTAGAGACAATGGGTAGCTATGAGGTGTTACAGCCTGGCTACCATATAAATGTGATTTTCTGCCTGAGCAAATTCTGCTCTAATTAAGTAAAATACTTTTAAATGATTATCAAAACAGGGCTACTCCTCAGTTCTCTCAAAACATGAAAATGCCAGAATTTTAATGCCTGGGGGTTTCCCAAAGTGAGTTGAACATGCTCTTGTTTCCTGAACTGAGGCAGACAGAGGTTTTTCAACTGTCACCTCCACATTGATTCAATTTATCTCATGGCCCAGTGGCTACACACTGGTATATTTGCCACAGCTAAAGTGGAATTAGCAACACAAGACTATATACTAGGACTAAATGCAAAGAAGTAAGCAAACACAGTGCCTTTACTAAGAGCTATTGATTGGAACTCTTTTTTAAAAACAAAACTTTAAGGCTAGTTTTTTTTCCAGCTACACTCATGAAAACAGAATGCTTTCCTGAGGTTGAGGAAGGTATGGAGGAAGGGGCACATATTGTGAAGTCATTCCTCAAACCATAACAAATTGAAAGCTGTGGTTTAATATATAACCCAGATGGTCAGTTTTGTAATGATTTTACATTTACAGTATCTTTTTTTTCCTGGGGCATTATATTTCATTTGGCAATAGTTCTTATCCTGGTTTCCCTCCAGCTGCATTTCAAAGGAAAAAAAATGTACATTACTTCATCTTGCGGTTTAATCTTGGTATACGAAACATTACATCAGCAGCAACAATTTCTTGTAATCACCTCTGCCCTGTAGCAAGGTCCTTAGGGAGATAGTATTTCGTGCATCATAATTTAACCACCACCAAGAATGATCATCACTTAAATAGCTACAGAGGTGGAAATAAATGAGGACGTCAGACGCCCCCACCCATCCTGCTTAAACTACATTCTTCACTGGATAGAAGATGACAATAATTGAGCATGACTTTCTAATATATTCACATTCACTCTACCATTTGCCATTCTGGAATCCTGAAAGCCTTCAAATTTGGTCCTGAACCTTATAATGAGAACATTTTATTAGTTTCTTTCTAATTCTTGTCAAAACTGGTTGCTATGAATCTAGACTGTTACCAACAGTTCCTGGAATTTTAGTTAAGAGTAAACTGTAGATCCAAACAAATCTAAGCATCTTATTTTAGTAAAATGCTTTCTACTTTATAGCTGGAACAAATCATCCCAGAACCAATTCTTGTTCACCAGTTTTGCATGGTCAACACTGAATATGAAAGAACATAACCTTGAAAAGTATAATCACCCAGGAAAAAAAGGGAGGAGGGGAACAAGAAGCCTAGATTTGGGCTCCATTATCTTTTCTCAGTGGGCAATGTACAAGGCTACTTACATACATGCTTTCAAAGAGCATGATTTTCTTTAAGTCACTACTAAAGAACACCCTGATGATCAATACTATGGAGAATTTAGATTTTGTTAGTGCCTTCACTAATCCCATTGATGAAATTATAACTGTGTTAGAAAGAAGAATGGTGGGCATTTTATGCCTATCAGACATAAAGCAGGAAAGTAAAACTTGCAGAGTTAAAGGCAAGTCAGTTCCAGAGTAGAAAGTAAAATTCCGGCCTTATATTCCCTTGTTCCAGGACCTAGCCCACACAGGAAAGGTTTTATATTTCTAGCACTGGTTCCTTGCCTTTCATCCATTGCCTCTGTAAATACAAGTCTCTGATAGAATAGGAATCCTGCAGCATGACATATATTAAAAATCTTAGAGGGGGCTGGGTGTGGTAGCTCATGCCTGTAATCCCAACACTTTGGGAGGCCGAGGCAGGTGGATCACTTGAGGTCAGGAGTTTCAGACCAGCCTGGCCAACATGGTGAAACCCCATCTCAACTAAAACAACAAAAATTAGCCGGGTGTGGTGACGCAAGCCTGTAATCCCAGCTACCAGGGAGGCTGAGACAGGAGAATCACTTGAACTCGGGAGGCAGAGGTTGCAGTGAGCCGAGATTGCACCATTGCACTCTGGCCTGGGTGACAGAGCAAGATGTCATCTCAAAAAAAAAAAATCTTAGAGGTGAACTATTTGTCAGTATTTTACCAGTAGCCTAGTCTCATGGGCACATAAAAGACCATTCCTAACTCATTTCCTTCCCACTGCTCCTGGCCCCCTAACCATCCTGATCCCATTCTGCTCCTACCAAAAATTCAGCAGACAAACAAGCTTGAAGGGAAGTTTCATGCCATGAGCCTCTGCTGCTAACTCCTGAATTAGATACACCAACAAAGCAAAAATTTTCCATTGGGAGTTCCAGACGGCAATGAGTTTGTCAAAGAATTACCTCTAAAAAAAGGGCTTAGCCAAGGACATCATCAGGCAAGGACATTTGTCCTGGGGACAAATCAACCTCAGGGTCTTTGCAATTGTGATTACCTCAGCCTGGACTCCCTCCAGCTTTGCTATGGCTAATTCCTTCCCATGATCCCTTAGATTTCAGTTTAAATGTGACCTCTTTAGAGCTGCCTTTCATGAGTACACACTCTTAAGGAATTCTCTCCTCCTCAAACCACAAAACACTCTGTCGTATATCCTTGTAGTTATGTCCACAGACTCTGGAATCAGACAAACCCTGGCTCCTGCCACTCACTGGTGTAGCCTGGGGCAAATCACTTGTTCTCTTGAGTCTCCTGACCCACATCTGTATGATCTCCATTGCAAAGTAACAATAAAGCCTAAAGGGAAGCAAACACTAAATTGAAAATTGGGTAGCCTACCAATTTCAGGTCTGTTCTGCAACTAACCTGGTAGGTGACCTGAAGCAAGTTGCTTCGCCTCATGGGGCATCAGTTTCCTCTTATGTTCATTGGAGGGATTGGATTCGATGAAAGTCACCTGTTCTGCATCTGGACAGTCTGTTTTCACATTTCTGTCCCAAGATCACAGCTGCCCCAGTGTTGGTCCTAATCTGGGACCACTTGGGCTATCCCCTCCCTCTCCCAAATACCATTCAATTCAACTCAATACAATGCATGATTTAATACATGTAGGCTGTGGCATCCTGCTTTATATGGAGCTAGAAAGGTATTTTATAACCAACAAAGGATTCAGGGTCATCTGTAGTTCGTGGTACAGAATTTAACCCTCTGCGATTGTGCTAACATTTCTCTTGGAACTTTCTTGACAAATCCAAATGTTCATCTTTGTGCTCTTCCATTTGATAAATTTTGTCCCTTTTACTGACCCATTGTAAAATTTCCTAACCCATGGCTCAGACGGGACTCTATTCTGCTTTTGCTCCTGCCTCTGTGTACTGCTCATAACAGCAGAAGGCAGACAAGTTTTAGGCAGACAGGGGCAAGTCCCTGGTGAAACCCCACCTTCAAACCATAGACAGTTTAAAGCTTGAAAGCCAAGCTACAAGTCCTAGATAAGTCCATGAACTGAATTGAGAACCTCTCTTCCCATCTGGCATACTTTCCTTTAATTGATCCCCACCCTTCACCTATTTTACATATACCTACCCTTCCCTAATTGGCTTTTTACACTGTCATGCCCACCTTTGAGTGGTGCCCTTGTTTTAGCCTTTTTTGAATACTCACAAACCAATCAGCTTGCATCCCCCTTCTGAGCCCATAAGAACCCTGGACTCAGCCACACTTTGGGATCACCCACCTTCGGGTGGGGGAGAGAGGCCACCCAACTTTGGGTAGAGGGCTGGTCTCTCAAGTCCCCTCTCTGCTGAGAGCTGCCACTCAATAAAACTCTCCTCACACTTCAGTTGTCAACATACCCTCATTCTTCTTGGATGTGGGACAAGAACTCAGAACCTGCCAAACGCAGGTACAAAGAAGGCTGTAAAACTGTATCCCTCTGCCCTCTGCCAGTGCCAGGCAGCCACCTTGTGCTCAGGGAAGCAGCAGCAGGGTCAGGCTAGCCCTGGGGCTGCAGACTGGAGCAGGGCAATGGCACTAAAAGAGCTGTTAACACATCTCTGTTTGCTGGGGCTATGGATGGTGGGACTAAAACAACTGTTAGCACACTGTAACACCCCCTCTGGGGCTTCAAGGTTGTTGGCATCCCTGTTCAGATGCCACCATGTTTGTTCCCCTCATCCAGATGTCAGCACACAAGGGGGAAGCTGGTTGCAGCATGCCTGGCTCAGCTGCAGGCTGAGTGCGGATCCTGTGGCAAGTGTGGGACCTGGGCAGGAGCGCAAGCCAAGAACAGTCTGCTGGGCCAAGTGAGCGGGTGCCTCCTGCGGCAAGCCCAAGGCCTGAGTGAGATCCAGGCATGCCCATTGCTGGCTGCAGAGGTCTCCAGCTGGCGAATTTATACTGAAAAATCCTGTCAATGCCTTTCCTGGCGAAGTGCTTGCCCCCACTACCCTTAGGTGGCATCTTCTAAAACTCAGCCCTCCCCACTTAGTCAACCACAATTTATAAACCCCAGTCCTATGAGGATTCAGGTTATAGCAAGTAAAATGAGTTTGCAGTTCCTGATTTGGGATTGGGGAATATGTTACCCATAAGGGACCTGTTCCACCAAATCAAACAGGATTATATATTGTCCTTGCAAATGATGGCTGATTAACCAGCCCCTCTATCCTGCTCTCCTGCTCCCTCAGGCTTCCCACTGCCTGCTCTAAAATGTTGTCTTTTCACCCAGCCTTTTCAATACTGACTTACTAAGTTACCATGGAATTATTTCCATTGAATTACACAAAACTTACTGACTAAACAACTTAGACAAAAATGTGATTGTTTTTGCTTCAATAATAAAAGCAAACCTTTCTGTTTAACCCATTCTGCTCTCCCAAAGGGAGAAAAAGATTAAGGTGTTATGATGTTGCTAATAGTTACTTCCTTCTGTGACAGTGTGCTTTCTGCATGATATCATCACTTTATTAACCCACATATAAATGCTTAAATTGACCAGGGAGTTTTGGAATCCACTGACAATTACCACCCCCATAATCTCCCTGTGAACAAGGCAAAAAGGGGACTTCATCCGACAAGACCAAATCATGTAACTGCTGGCTGTGAAGCCTGTGTGCAGAATTAAGGGTAATCATAGCCTACAGCATTTAAGTCTAACCACCAAATGTTCTTTAGAATCCTAAACTTGTTTGCAGAGTAGTTTACTTATAATTGTGTGTTTAGTTATTTTTTTCCTTTTAACTAAGTGAAATTAACAGCACAGACCTTGCCAACTCTGTAGATGTAAACTTTCTATTCATCCAGAAAAGGGAAATTCAGGGGTGTGGCAGGGCCATTTCTTGGGCAACCAACTAATCAACACTATGGCCCTGACCTGGAGGGCACAAGGCCAGAATTCAGAAGATTCAATGTCTTGATGCGACTAGATCATTGCTTTCTGAACTTCAGTGGACATCCAAAGGGCCTGCTGAGCTGGGCTTGCACTCTCAAACACACAAAAGGTACCAAACAAGTGAGTAGGGTTTATACTTTCCTTTTACATTTTTAAGTATTAAGATTTATAACCATTTTTGTGCCAGCTTAAAAATGATCAACCATTTAAAACTTCAGAAAAGTCACGTCACCACATTTTTAAAAGGAAAGATGTATTTTCAAAGGGAAAATTGCTGCATGCAGCATGCAAAATTGCAGATCAAGAAGCAGCCAAGTGAAATGAGTCCTTGAGGCTCTCCTGTATCCAGTCTGAACTGTACACAGATTACCCAAAGCAGCAGCTAATCCCCACATTAGCCACTGGACTGTTCCTCAGCTCCTCCTTGGTTTGGCACTCTCACTAGCAGTGCAGGAAGCACTGTCATTGGCTATTAGCCCATTGTTAAACCTTAGCTGTCTCTGTTACGATAAAACACCCAATGCTCAGTATAAGGCCATCCTCAGGGCTCAGGGCTCAAGCTATGGAACCAACTTGTAGTTGAAATTACCCAGTGACATGGGATTTCTGGGATATCAGTAACTCAACATCCCTGGTGAAGATGAGCTGCTTTCAGCAATCAAATGATATTCTTGCAAGCTTCTAGTGAGTAACTCTTTCCTCAAGACATATCTTTAGATTTATGTTTTGCTTTGATGTGTAACAACATTGAATGAGTAAGTCAGGACCCATGGATGGTCTTCTCAGTTCTGTTAACTGTCTGCATGATCTTGAGCCAATTGCTTATTCTCCTTGGGTATCAGTTTTCTCATCCATACAATGGAGGTGATTGTCTTAATAATGATGATAATAATGATGATGATATCCTCCTTGCTCCACCTAACAAGCTGTGGTAAAGATGTAAGGAAAAGGAGAATATAAAATTGTTCTGTAAAATGCAAAGGGCTGTAGTAACATAAAATGTTCTTATCATTGGTAACTTTTTTTGTGTGTGTGTGAGACGGAGTCTCTCTCTGTCGTCCAGGCTGGAGCGCACTGGCGTGATCTCGGCTTACTGTAACTTCCGCCTCCCAGGTTCAAGGTATTCTCCTGCCTCAGCCCCCTGAGTAGCTGGGATTACAGGTGCCTGCCACCACACCCGGCTAATTTTTTTGTACTTTTAGTAGAGATGGGGTTTCACCATGTTGGTCAGGCTAGTCTCAAACTCCTGACCTTGTGATCTGCCCACCTCAGCCTCCCAAAGTGCTAGGATTACAGAAGTGAGCCACTGGGCCTGGTCTATCATTGGTAACTTTTAATAAGATGGGTTTACAATTCCTGCATGCAAACCAAGTCATGGCAAAGGAAAGCTGTGCTGGTGATGCAATATGGCTGAAGACAAAAGGCACTATAACATTGTGAAGAGAACTGGAGTGGCAGTCAAGAAGCCCGAGTTCTAGCCCCAGCCCTGCTGCTAACTATCTGTATGACC